TTTCGCGTGTCTGTGTGTATCACACAACACGCAAACCTACGTGTCAGGTGTAAAAAGGAGAGCTAGTCTGAAAGAGAAATGTAGCAAGATCACGTAGCGAAATCTGTGTCAATGGTGAATCGAAGAAATGGCGTTCACAAGAGATAAGAGCCAGAGTCCCTCTGAGGGAAATCATGGCCGCTTGCCAGCGGCAAAATCAGCGTGGTGTACACTAGCCTCGGTGCCAGACGCTGGCGTTTCAGTTTCAGATTTTTTGGGGAGAAAACCTTTCCCCGCACGGCCAAGCTTTGGAATTCCCTCCCTGACAAGTGTTTCCCACCAACCTACAATCTACAGGCTTTCAAATCAAACGTTCACCGCCATCTCTTGACATAGCCATGTCTCTCTCATCTTTCTAGTTCAATGCCGAGAAGTGGTCGCATATGCCTTGCATTGAACTACTCCGTTAAAAAAAAAAAACTAATGTCCGCTACAAGAGTATCCGCCCAAACCCTTTATCTTTCACGCAGCGAGGAGATTACTAGAGCCAGGCTGCCAACTCGGGGTTAGCGGGGTGTATGGCTTCTCTGGCCGAAGGGGTTATCACTCACTCGCGGTAGGGTCTGGCACCCAGGCTAGGTGTACACAGCGTGGTACCGGTGTACCGTTTGGTTTGTTATATATTACATGGCGACAGCATGGCACTGTCGCAATAATAACTACGTACACCTGCATAAAAGATACTACGTGGTTCATCAACCATTGACTGTGAGGCTTTAGGGAGGATTCTTGGGGATTAATGTGTAGAACACACCGCCCCTCTCCCACCCCCATGACAAGCAGGCTGGCTAAACCAAAGGGACACCGAAAGGTTGTTTCTGACACAGGCGGACCTACATGCACGCAAGTCTGACATCATCATCATCGATCAAGTCCGGTTGTGAGGCGGCAGACATCTTCAGTCTGCTTTGTGGTGTGAACACTACTGTAAACCAGTTTAGCTTTGGGCAACTGAAGACCACCTTGTGACTTCAGCCGGGTGTTGTGAGTGTGTAACTGTGATAGTTGGGTGACCATTTCAGTGATGTAGGAAGGGGTCAAACAGTTAAGAGCCTTGTAGACGAGAATAGCTTCACTTTTCTTGTGAATTTCAGCTACTGAGGCCCATTTTAGAGTGTTTAGAAGGTTTGAGATTGAGGTTTGCCTGTCACAGCCTAGAATGACCCGACTCACCCACCCAGTTTTGTAGCTTTTTGCAGTTTTTCAATGTACATCCCTTGCCTGCCTGGTCCCAGAATTACAATACTGTATGTACGGAATAAATAGCGTCGTGTATGGGGTGTGAACACTGTATCTGTATCAGTATATAGCCGGTATAACCGCCCTTCGGCGTAACACACCAGCTTCAAACTATGAACCAGGCATTTATCAGTCAAAATAAATCATTTCTAAACTTCGATACATGCCATAGCAAAAATTCTAATGAAAGCTCATCGGTGTTGGTAAAATTCGTGTTAGCAAAGTTTAACTTTAGACCAACAGAAAGAAGTAGTTACACCACATGAACTTTAGGTTACACTCGTCAACCTAACAATTGCCATCGTAAAGACAGATAGATTTGGCCAAAAATGGTTGTCATAATGTTGTCAGAAGTCCATCACGTGAACAGGAAATAACATTGCGCGTACCACTCTCACGAAAAACACATAGTATTACACTACTGGAAAAACAAATAAAAAGTACTGATCTAATATTTGTCTGATATTTCATAACTAACAGTGACCTAACAGTCACGTTTCCTAGTGTAATGTTTGATATGAATGGGTCGAACTGCCAAGTCGTCGTTGATATGTGAAAGTAATCATGCTCTTCTGTTGATCTGAGTGAGGATCATAGAAAAAGATCTAAAAAGAGAGAGTTCATCGAGATTTTTGAAAGATAAATGTGCCATTTTTTCATTTACTAATGCAGCGTACGTTACTCCAAGGTCAGCGAAACCATATACTCTAATACGGTGTGAGTTTAATGATATCTAGTATCTCTTTTCATGTTTACCTTTGGCACACTTTGGGTACGACGGGAACCACCTTGCATACCCTCCCAGCCCGCCGAAAGTCAATGTTGCGCATTCAGTATAAATGATTACTTTCTAGACCCGTAGGTCTGTTCAGAACCGCCCCCTAAATCAGCAACAACACCGAAACTAATTCACAAAACTTCCTCCATCTGCCAAGTGCCAGGGACTGACACCGGCGGGGGCATCACTAACACTTAAAGGAATGACGCTGAACTTGTGGGAAAGGTCCCGGGACCCTGATGGTCTGATATAATCACAGGAGGACCATAAAAGCTCTCCACATCCGGACTCACTAACCCGGGTAACTAACGCCACCGTGTGCTGACGTCACACGGGGATCGATCTGTTTCCGGCACAGATGTTGCCAACCTCTCCCCAGCATTTGTTAGGGACCGTCCCGAAAGTTCTGCACACTCGCTGTCAACACTGTAAATAATCTGCAGATTGGAGTGACTAGCAGGTAGAATGAGCGTCAGATACATCCTCCCTTTTGAACCATAGGAATCGCTTTAAAGGCTATGAGAAGTGAACGCCGACCAAAATAATTACGTTACCTAGCTACCCAATGTTTATTTTGCTACGCGGTTTGTCACATACATAAACAGGCAGCTGGGAAGGCGTCACGATTTTGCCGCCAAACGTCTGCTTGGAGATTGCATGCTGATATTGTGAAACGGTCCCCTGATTTGATTACAGTTGGACACACGTATGTAGGTGGACCTGTCTCCCAACCCACGCACGGCGTGCGTAAAATGTCAGGACAGATGCGGCATGTTTACGGATTGTTATTGCTCTGCAAGATGAAGGGATCGGTAATCAAAATGTTGCCAGTTTTTGTATCACTGAAAAGCTGCCACCGAACCCAAAAATAACAGGTTCCCTTCTCTTCGTAATGTTCATAAATTCATCTCGCTCCACCCTTGAGTCCCCTATACTGCCTTGAGAAAAATATTGTTTTCTTTTTTCCAGAGAGAGAGAGAGAGAGAGAGAGAGAGAGAAAGAAAGATTGTATGTATTCTTGAAGTGTCCCCATGTCTTTCCGTTACAATAGTGTAACAGACACTGAACGCAAGTGTAAGAAACGCGTTTCTGACGCAATGGATAGCCTTTCAGCACCAAGGAGAAAGCTACGCGGAAGTTCCGACGAACCGGACTACAAGGCTCCAGCGGGCCGGCCCGCCGACCTCCTCGGCTACCGTAAGCGCGGTTTGCCCCCCACCCCACGCTTCCCCTGGCCTGGTATCCTTCTGTTTTCAACTTCTGGTGTCCGGTTCACAAAACGGTGGCTTCTATATAGCTCTTCGTCTCCGGGGTCCGGAACGTTGGGTAGCCTCTACCAAACTTCGAGAGGCGGCTGGCAAGAGTAGAAATTGGCCGAATAGAGAGATAACATGCCAAGGGAGATGGTGCTGCAAACTGTACTCTCTAGCAGACCAACTCCCTCGGCATGTTATCTCTGTATTTGGCCAATTTCTACACTTTCCAGTCGCCTCCCGAAGTCAGTTGGTAGAGGCTAGATATGCCTGGCAACCTTAGAACTTCCTGACTTAAGTTCTTCGTAAGAAATTTGCATACATACATCTCAAACTTCTCCTAAACTCTGACCAGGATTAAATACATCTACTATGATCATTCCACTTCAATAGGTTGCTTACTAAGAGGGATAAACCTGATAGTGAGTGAGTGGATGAAGAAAAAATATAGGAAACACCATTTGCTGTCATGTGCAATATTTATGTTGAGAAAGTTTCCAAAAAGTTTCGAAAATTAGTTCAACCGTGGTTCAGAATGACTTCTACCGACACAGATAAACTGTCAAGCTAAGCTACATGTTAAGATATTAGTATGGCCTAATCCTTGGCTTAGTCATGGATTATGTAATATAGTTCATGGTATATATCAATCATTAAAGGTCAGTAGGTGTGAACACATTGGGATGCTATGAATAGATTTCCTACATCATTGGCATTACAGAAGACGACATGACTTGACATTTTACGCTTCGTTATGTCATCAATCTTGTCACTACTTGTGACAAAATTTATGCGTAAATGCCCACACCAAATACTGATTAATGTTTTTGACATGCATCCTACAACTTTCAAAATTCAAAGTAAAACAGGCCATTTCTACCCTGAAAAGTTCAGGACTTTTCTATTCAGTAAGAACTGTATTGACAACTTCAGAAAGACAACATGGATTCTAAGAGTTAAGACATAAAAAAAGGATGCTAGCTTGTGACATTGATGTACTGACTGATAATCTGCTATGTGTAGTGATTAATACACAGGGCCCATATCCCATATATGCCCCCCTCCCCCTCCTTATGACATGAGAGATGGCCTGTTTGGAATCATTTGATCTGTCCATCTATCACACAGAGGTTGTTTATAAAGGTCATATCTCCAGTTTTCCACGTTCTTCTTGAAGGTCAATATTTTTTGTTTACTGGAAAAAAGTGCAAATTTTCCATCACAAATTCAGAGAAAATTGCTGGTGGAACAATGGTCAAAATCTGAGAATCTCTCTCTCCACACATCTGAAATGCAGTTTGACTAGCCTAAGAAAATTGTAGCTGATTGAGTAGATGGGCTTTGGCTAATATAGTACCATATGGTCTCTGTAAGTAGGCTATAGCTAAAACAAGGCATGTATGTGCTTTGTTATTAGAAAACGTACTGAAACCCATGATTAGCCTAGATTGTAATATGCTATAGATTAGCCCTTATTGTTTAATCTTATGATTTATTTTGCCTTTCTATTTTGTAGTTGGTAGTTGACCATATCAAGGACATTATACACAGTCTCTGACCATATGAAAGTCGCAGTACATTTTGTTGTCAATAAAGTACATGTATTCCATGTTTTAACCCTCCTGCTACTGCCCAACCTATGATTAACAGAAACTTCATGCCAAAGGTGTGTGTGTGTGTGTGTGTGTAAGTTAAAAAAAACCCAAAGTGTGTGGGTTAAAAAACCCCAAAGTGTGTAGGTGTGTAGGTTAAAAAACCCCAAAGTGTGTAGGTTAAAACCCCCCAAAGTGTGTAGGTGTGTAGGTTAAAAAACCCCAAAGTGTGTAGGTTAAAAACACCCAAACCAGCATTGCTAGTTGTTTTGCTAGTGGTTGATCTGAGTGGGAATTACCAAGGAAATGTGCATGTTTTTGCCCTGGGGATGTGTTTGACAAACCTATTACGTTATACCCGAACCTCTGAAGCAGCCCACGCCGCCTCTTCGCATGGTCGGATCCCATTAGCGACATTTAACAGATGCAGCTCAACCAATCACAACATATCGTGTTACCCGGCGGCTTCAAAAACATCTCCGGGCGCCACATTCGCTATTTCCTTTCTCTGACACTGAGTGGGATGTAATGCTTTCAACTACAGGTAAAAGTAATAAAGTAGTAGTGACGTGGGTGTCCTTGAGAGATTAGATAGGTTATGAAATGAAAAAAGCCTCTGCAATGATTTATGTAATCAAAAATATGCTCCATCTCACGTTACATAACATGCAACACACCTTTTCTATATCATAATGGTTATGATATAGGATAAAGGGCACAAAGCAGTTTTGTACTAGATGAATATTTCATAGCCCCAATATCCAATATGAAAAAATGCTAACTCCATGAATGCTCTTCCACATGTAGCACTATATATTGACTTCTATAGACACCTGCTGTATTGGGTAAGGTGGCTCTTGTTTTCATGGAATCGGGGTGGGATGCAGTGTTGCTGGGAAGACTGGCAGCGCTCCCTAACACCTTTAGTTTGAACTGCAGTACTTTAGTCTACAAGAACAGATTATTTACTCATCAGCGTCATCACTGTCATAAAAATGGAACCTTGCTTTGTCCTAATTAACATGGATTTTGTTGATGTAAAGGTTTTTGTTTTTCAACTCCATGAATAGAGTCTACAGATAAGACCATCTAAAGCTACTATCATGTAATTATTTTGCAGTGAGATCTTTATTACCTGTATTTGACAACATGTAGTAAGCAGCTCTTCCAGAACAATATCAGTCTAAAACTGATAACTCAATCATCTAATTCCTTATGTGGATGGAATGTAACCATTTCCTACCCAAAATCAACATTTACAGCTACAGGAACATTTCTCATATTATCCCCAAACCCTACCCTACCAACTGCAACCAGTATTGACAACATTTGCCTTTGCTGGAACTGTACCAAACATCCACTATATACATGTACAATGTACATAATCTCTCTAAACTGGCCACATGTCAGAATTACTGCAATGATGTTGAAACTATTTAACTTTCCTTGTTAAGCCAAACGAAAAACATTCTCTGTCAACTAAATACATCTGGGTATCTCATATTCTCTATTGCACTATTAAACATTACTTGGACAATTCTATTTCATTCTAATCAGTTAATGGGAAAAGTTGGTTGATTTCAAGCCTGTGTGTTCAAGGACTGTAGAATACAGGGGAGATGTACTAAGGGAAAAACAGAAAAATTTTGATTCCTGACTACCCTCAGTTTTGTAGACCAGCCCTTCTCCCTGTAGCCCAACACCATAGCCAGTAGTGGAATGGCTACCTAGTAGTAGTAGATTGGTTAATAAAAATGCATTTATCTGTATGTGAACTTCTACTGTGGTCCCTGATGAGGTTCTACATTTTATTAGGAATGGAACATCAATGTTGTTGGTTATCATCAGTATTCAACAGGCCAACACTACAACTGGTTTGCTGTTAAGATGCTACTGCACTGACAAGTTGCATCTGCTACAAAATTTGCTGTCTAGGACATCAAGTTAACAGAGAACTGCTGAGTCTCTTTCCTTGAGTGTGAAAAATATTTACATACTAATACTTGGAAATAAAACGTATGCAGAAAGGCTTCTGCTATGTCAGAACTGACTTTTGCTGCATCTTCACTGGAAGAAAATATCCTCCAATAACTGCAAATAAATTCAGATATTCCGCTTGGGTGGAAAATGTTAACAGTTTACTCCAATTTTCCCACAGTGATTTGCGGTCCCAGCCCTCCCACTGCCAACAGACGACCTCCCCTGATGGCATCCAGCGTCTGCACTGCCTTGCCACCTCCATCTACTGCCCCCAACACCTGAAATATAAATAAACAATCGTGAATTCGTTTCACCAGGCCGGTAAAGCACTGGGTATTAAGGTTCTTTGTACACAAAAAATACCTATTACCTGTATACACCTGGGAAGCAAAGCTGTTGGACAGGTGTATAAACTATTGCCCTGAAAAAGGAAGCAGAGGGACTTCCAAAACATTGGCAGTTAATTGGTATTGGTTGTGTACAAAGAACCCATATATAAACATACATCCAGAAATCTCAAATACCTGTTGACACAAAACTTACAAGCCCAGCTTAAGATTACAGATTGTTTGTTATTTTCTAGTACATTGTACATTTGTAGTATTAGTTATGTATGTACTACATGTAGTACATGTACATTGAAGGGGCACTACCAATCTTGTTATCTGTTGTAGTAAGTCCCTATGTCACAGTGAAAGGTTTACATGTATCTGCTGTTGCAATAGAATGAAAGGAGTTGCAAAAGCAAGTTGCTCCGGTCCTCTTCCATGACTTTTTGCAGAGAGAAGAGTTTGATACTGTCTAAGCACCCCCTATCTACCGAATGCAGTATTGCAGCAAAGTTGGTGCATTTTAATACAGCAATCAAGAAGGTATGTTTTTAACACTTTTTCACCATAAGGAAGTGCATATATTATCTAAGCCATATTTCATATCACTATTTCTGAACAAAGACATTTAAGACAGGACATATAGTGTGCCATCACAGACTATGTTAAATAGGCAAGTGAGACCAAACCGCAATGAGTGAAACATCTGTGACTGATTTGAGCTTTCATGAATAAAGAATGGCTCAAACAAGCAAACAAACAAACAAACAAACAAACATTTTCGTTCTTCATCTGTATGGCCTGCGCGCTGTTGGTTCCGCTGCCACCCGCCAGCACCACGTCGTGGTCACAGAACTGGGCGCAGTACAGGAACTCCCCGCCCTTCCCCGCGGGGAACGGTATCGTCTGCAGCAGGCTCCGCTCCTGGAAGTGCCACAGCTGCAGAGAGTCCTTCGCAACCCACGAACCTGTTAGCACTTTGTTGTCCTGCAAATACATACATTGAGGAAATAATCGGGAGTACCGGTATTAAACGAATTTAAAGAAACAAATGGGAAAGAGAAGGAACAAAAATCTTAATTTATAGGTAATGATGACAAAACACTAAATAGTGATTATTATACTAATTAACTCAACTATTATCTCTATTTAGTGTTGTGTCATCATCTTGTCTTATAAGTGTAAAGGCAGAATTTTCCAGTATGAGTATTCCTCTTACCTTGATATCCAGGGCTGGTCCGCAAACATGTGGCCCACCGATCACCCTCTTGGCACCTCCCTTTGTTCTGCGATCCCATATCTAATGTGGAGAAAAAGGTACTCAGTGTATATCTAAGTTTACTTATATGTAGAGCTGTGTACCTAAACAAATTTTAGGTACAGGTACAGGTACACAGGTTTAGGTACAGGTCCGGACCTGAACCTGTACCTGAACAATTCGACCAATTTATATGCTCTTCTGAACTCCTTCAATAACAAAAAAAACATAAATAAACTTGATAGTTAAGGTTTATTCTTTGTTTATGGCGAATGCTCAGATAAAATATAGGCTATATATATGTTTTTGTTTTCATGAACACACTGTCCTTACACAGGGACCCATTGTTAACCAGCTATTTACACATTTGAGGTCACAAATAGGCATAAAATTGGTGTGAAATTGTTTAGGTACAGTACCGGTACTGAGGGATTAGGTATTTTGGACCTGTACCTAATCAATTTTACCGGTACAGTATCGGTACTGCGTACCGGTACACAGCTCTACTTATATGCATAATAGAATAATGTATTAGATGATAAGATGATAAAATGACATTCAACAGAGATTCAGCTCTCAATTTTTAAGATTTTGATCTGTCTTGAAGTTCTTGTTTTTAGAATGATGAACACAAAACTTTCAAAGAAACCTTTTCGCCATCATATTCCTCTGTATGGCTTCCAGCCAAAACATTTTCTCATTTCCTGCACTGGTGGTTATGAATGTTTAGCACATCCTCTTACACAAACAGCATCCCACAATATCCTCCAACTGTCCATCACAACTGTCCATCACAACTGTCCATCACAACTGTCCATCACAACTGTCCATCACAACTGTCCATCACAACTGTCAATCACAACTGTCAATCACAACTGTCAATCACAACTGTCAATCACAACTGTCCATCACAACTGTCAATCACAACTGTCCATCACAACTGTCCATCACAACTGTCAATCACAACTGTCAATCACAACTGTCAATCACAATTGTCCATAACAACTCTGTCAATCACAACTGTCAATCACAACTGTCAATCACAATTGTCAAGCACATCTGTCCCTCCCCTCCCCACCTTGAGACTGTTGTCCCAGCCGGCTGTGATGAACATGTAGTTGTCTGTAGGGTGGAACTTGATGGCGTAAATCCTCCTGCTGTGTCCTGATGTCGGCTGGACATCCTCAATCAGAGGGTTGGGAGCCTCCAAAGTCTGCAACAGCTGAGGGGAGGGTCAAATTTAAAGGTCAGACAATTTGTAAATATAGAATACAACATGGGGTATTCCTCATTTTGCCCGAGGTATCAGCCTGACTTGCGGGAGTTTTCGAAAGCAGCACATGAGTCTAGGGAGAAATACGTTTGAATCGTTCTATGGAAGCCATGGAAGCCCGGGCCATACCATAAAGTTATCATGGCCCGGGTATGATATAAATAACACAAAATACAAGACATCACAGGTTCTGAAATACAGAAAAATGTTAACTCTATTTCATATTCAAAGACTAATCAAACTCTACTACTGGATAAATTACGGAGATAACTTACCGTAATTAATCCAGCAGTAGCGTTTGATCATTCCATATTGATTGTGGACGTAATACACATGTCCTGAAAAATTGGATAACTTCCTGCTGTTGAAATGTGTACGTTGACATCATAAAGTTGCACATACCTCAAAAGTCTTGCTATCATACATGCGTATGTGCCTGTCCTTCCCTACGGTGGCAAACACAGCTCCGTCCAGGTTGAAGTCCATGGCATTTATTTCATTCTTGTCCTCTGTAAAGGAAAGACAAGTTACATTGCAAGACTACAACAACCTGGGAGGCAATGTTGGGAATAACAGCAACCATCAGACAATGGCAATAATTAAGAAAACAGTAGTATGTGGGATCTGTATGGAAAAACATCAAAATGCCAGTGATGAAGCTGTGATGAGGTCGTGTGGCATAAATGGTAGCGTGTTTGGCTCAGGAGTCAGGACCAAGACATCCAGGGTTCGAACCCAACCAATGTCACTGATCTTGTGCCCTAGGGAAAGGCGCTTAAGCTTTACATGACTTTCCTCACTTCACTCAGGTGGAAATCAGTACCTAGCTTCAGTTAGGGACGTCCCTCGGATAGAACGTTAAATGGAGGTCCTATGTTTGGGGAGAGCCACACCCCACACCCCACTTATAAAAAAGAGTAGGTGTCTTTCCCGTTTCCCGGTGTGAGTGGTCCAAACCTTACAGTCTGTGTTAGACCAGTCAGGAGTCAGGACCTACCTAATGTAGACTGTGTGCACATGTCTTAAATGCTCACAGACTTTTAGTGTTAAACACAGGACCTATCTTGAAGTTGTAGACTGTATGCACCTGTCTGAAATGCTAACAGATTGACTGTAAGTGTTGGACTCAGAACCTACCTTGTAGACTCAATGTGTGCACAGATAGAATGTATTTAAAGTGTTAGACTCAGGATGTACCTTGTAGACTGTGTGTACAAATGGATAGACTATAAGTGTTGGAGTAAGGACCGACCCTGTAGACTGTGTGCACATGGACAGACTGTAAGTGTTGGATACAGGACCTACATGTACCTTGTAGACTCAATGTGTGCACAGATAGACTTTTATAGCATTAGACTCACGATCAGGACCTACCCTGTAGACTGTGTGTACACATGGATGTCTCCAGCTGCCAACAGCCAATGTTGCCATCAGCCCCAGCCTCCAGGATGATACCATTGTCCAGGGGGTGGTAACACAGGGACATGACCGCCAGGCCCCTCCGACTTGACCCCTTCTTCAGGGCAAGGGTCATCTCCCCATTCTCAGGGTTGTACAACTGGAAAATACAAAATAGAAAAGTCTTTATTGACACAACAAAAATACAGCAGAAACTTTTGTAAGGTCTTTTACACCTGTATACAAACAAGTGGAATACAAATGAAAGTTACAAAAAGTTACAAGTACATGATTGTATATTATGGATAAATCAACAAAAATGCAAACTTTGTCATCATGTTTTCATATGCTGTACATTTGTAAAACAGGTTTCAAAAGTGAAACTAGAGAATGTAAACTTGAGCTTCTTTGATAGCTGTAAGTTAACAGCTACATATATAAAGCCAGAATTCCAAGACAACATTCTTGTATAGAAAACAGTTTCTCTCATAACAAATAATCCTTTAAGCTTTGTTGACAGAAGACCTTACCACCCTATTTACCAGACAAAAGACACCCATTGTTAAGTGGTCCATCAACAGTTATCAATTACTACAAATGTTTCCCCAACATTTCTAGCAAAACTGCTCGTTTCATTTCTTAAAGATTTATGAAGGTCCTTCCCCAAAAAACCCCCCTACCCTGGTTGAAAGACAGTGTAGGGGGCTAAATCATTGCATAGGGGGTCCAAATCACAGTGTATCTGTATCTGTATAGCCAGTATAACCGCCCTTTGGTAGTCTCCACCAGACTTCTTTTGCGGGGTGAATAAATCATAGAAATCGGCCTAAAAAGGGTATAATTAATAAATTGACCAGAGAAGGTAGCCGGCAAGAGAAGCTCCATTTCCCCGCCATTTCGTGGCGTAACACACCAGCTTTGCTGGCACGCTGCACGGCGGCAGCTGGTTACATCACACCAACCGACTTGTTACACCTACCCCTTGAACACCTAACTCTAGACATTGTTAAAAGCTATCTAATGACAATACCCTTACACTCAAATACCTAGTGAGTACTATGTATAGCGTCCCCTTGAACTTGAATAGATTTACACAGTGCATACCTGTACTGCTCCATTGCCAAACCCCACAGCCAGCTGGTTTCCTGTGAGAGAGAACTGCAGACTGTAGGCTCCAGCTAACTCCCTCTGGACAGGGATGTGACTCAGGACTGAGAGCTTACTGAAGGGGTCCAGCTCCGGACTACTGATCTCCCTCCCGGCATCCAGGGCTGCCTCCAGACGTCTTCTGGCCATGGCACGGTCGAGAGACTGCTTAAGACAAAGCTTAAGACGAAACTAAGGAAAGATCGGTGCTTCCTCAGTTGTCACTGCATTCTGAAAACAGAATCAGTTCAAAGCTTTCAATACATCCAGTTTATACTCTCAAATTACACAAATAAACAATTTTTGTTTTCTTGCATTGTGCTTGTCACATTGTTTGGACACCTGTTATTGTACAAACAGGTGTTCTCAGTAAGGCTAGCCTAAGGAAATTATCATAATAATGTTCCATGTTGTTAAGGAGATTTGAGATTATTATCTGGTATTTAGGGATAGGGGTAATTGCTGATAATACAATGTGTCTGGTACACTTGCCAAAAAGGAGCTATTCTGAGGATACATGTAAAAAAAAATTTCATACAACTTTTAATGACTAGTACAAAATGTACATTTAATTGGTACAATGTTGAAAAGACCTTAACTGAAAAGTAGTAAACGTACAAATGATATCTTTCTGTGTGAAGTCTTACTCCAACATTCTGAGATATTAATTACGTATACTGGACTGCAGGTAACTAGTGCTACAGTCTGGATTGACTGCGTTAACTACAACCTCATTCAGTTTTAAGCTGCAGTAGACAGGCTCTTACTAAAGCCATTTCTGTGTGCCTCAGGCATCTTCAAACATACAGAGCATGACAATTTAATGTGAGTGTGAAGTGGCATATAGGTTACTGAAGTGGTTTTAAACAGTCATTGGGTGACTCTGGATACTATTCTTTGTAGCACAGCATACCGGTAAACAATGAAGAAACGAAAGGGCACTCTATGGAATAGAGAGTACAATTCTATAGAATGCTGGCATGAAAAACCCTTTTGCAAAATACAAATTTTTTTAAAATGCATGAGTATTCCCAACATAGAAAACCAATTCAACAACTTGTCAAATGCGATACAGTAACTTAGTTCTCAAAAAACCTTGAACCTTAACAATGACTCTGACACATTTGCATTTGTACACTCACCACCGACATGTACACACCACATTCAAGTACATATACTTCAGTGCAGCCCTTGACAAAGACATAGCAAACCATAAAAGCTCCTTCAGTAAATCTCACCGGATTTAAAGCAACCCCAAGTCTCAGATCACACGGCACCCGTTCAAGGCAAGAAAGTCACCTCATGAGGCCAGTGGGCAAAGCTGGATGTCTCACTGCCTCCACAGTGATTTAAGGTGCTGTTTATAATATACCGCGGGTTAGACCCAGCGGTCTGTAAATCTTTGATGAGTTTAACAACCAGCAGATGACGCCAACACCCTTCAACACGACAGAGGCCTCACTGCCGCTATTCTTCTCTCCTCGCTCACGACATTATCCCTCACAATTCCGGGATTTGTTCCTCGGGAGGCGGCTTAGAAACCGGGTTGACCTTCGCGACCCTCGATGGAAGACGGGGAATGAGATCACCCTCCAGAGTTGTACCAGATAAAACCCCGCTGCTCGGTGATATATTTGCTACCATGGCGACCATCACAGGTGCAGAAAACTGGCAGGAGACTTGAAACAAATGTACCCAAACTCGATCAATCAAACCCAAGGTTTGACAAAGGCTTTACGTGTTGCGATTGAAGTAATCCCTTTCTAGTAGATCTGCTGACAGGGCGGTTTTTGTTGCTCGAATAAAGAGCGTTTGTTCAATGGTTCAGAAGACATTTCTGGTATAATGAGAGTTAGATCACGGATGAATGGAAAATAATCCCGAGATTTATGTTTTGCGTCACAAAAAGATCATATTACAGTGAAGAATAAACTGCAATCATGTACTTACATACGCTGATGTATGCAACAATAGCACGGCAGGTTTTATTGTTTGCTTATGCCATGTTTGAATACTTTATACATTGCATATTCAACGCCTTGGAATAACAAAGTCATTACAAAATGCAACTACTATTGGACTATTGTACATCGTTAAATTTGTAACAAAAAGATATTTTCGGTCAACCAACTTGACTAGTATAATGTGATCTAGAACGTTCAAGTTCCTTATAATAATGTCATATATAATTGATGGTGGCTGCTGAAAGTCCCAATTATTCACTTGAACCTTTGAGAATTGTATTGACAAAGGCATAAGCAAACCATTTATAATGGTGGTCATAAATGCTTTTAGTCCCAGGTGGTCTAGACATATATTGGTTTATGGTTTGAATGAACAGTCAAAGATCACATGCTAAAAGCAGGAAGTCAGTATGTGCACATGGCTTCTCCTGAAAGAGGAACAATATCACCTTCAAACTCAGATTGTTCAAATTGATCCATTCAAGACTGAATTGCCCATCCACAGTTTTACCCAATCACGGCTTTGGTAAATGATTCTGGAAAGACCTGCAAACAATGTTGCATGCAGTCCAGTGTAAGACATGTATCTTGTCAATGATTCTGTGAGTTACATCAATGATGGTTAGACATCCAGGTAAAGATCAAGTAACTGGATACATTGTAGGTTCTATAAAGAATTGTATTATAATTTTTCATTCTCAGTTGTTCTACAAGTTGTTACATAAGTGCAGTTTAACAGTAGAGTGTTTGGCTCAGACCCAAGAGGTCCTGGGTTCGAATCCTGCCCAATGCCACCGATCTCGTGCTCTTGGGAAAGGCACTTTACACGACTTTCCTCACTTCAGTCAGGTGTAAATGAGTACCTAGCTTCGGTTAGGTCAGTTAGGGATGTCCCTCAGATTGGATGATAAATGTAGGTCCCATGTTTGGGAGAGCCACACCCCACGCGCAAGCACGTTAAAGAACTACTGATCTCATCAAAAAGAGTACGTTTCCCAGTGTGAGTGCTTCAAACCTTACAGTCCAGTCTTACGCAGCTTGTACGTATATATACAAAACTGGTGTGTTACGCCTAAGAAAGGCGGTTTAACGGTACGTTACTGGGTATGTGAAACAAACATTCAAACAAAGTTAAATTCTTAAGTTCTTGAGTCATTGAACAACCCTGTCACAATGTCATGTAGATCCTTGCATGGTACCGATCTGGGATAAAGTCACAATCACCCTTTTCAATCATAAAGTTTTCTCCTCCAGACTCCATTGTTGTTATACACCTGCCAATCACCCCTGTGTCCAGCCACCGCTGTGACAGATTTAGGACGGGGGTTTTCCATCATGCAGCGATAAGTAGGTGACAAATGTGTCACTTTTTACAGGCCAGAGGATCTATTTAATGGCAGTGTTTAGGACGTAAAGGTCGCGTGTGACCGATTCTTTGTGAGGGCTTCAAGACATTAATCAGTGAAAGCAGACTCAAATGCTTTGGTTGAATGCAATCACTCTGACAACTAAATACAATGCACATTGATATGAACTCAAGAGACAGCATTTGCATACATTATGGACCTTGCCTTTGAGACAGCATATAGTTTTGCTTCTTTGAACTGGTTGAAACTTCTGTCATAAGATAAAATGATGATAACGATAAAATGTTATGGAAGTGATGATTTATATAGATTTTACATCTAAATCACCTTGAATCTTGAACCTTCACGGTTCAAATCACAGACATCAGTTGCAGCCTTTAAGTGACCTTGAAGGTTTACACTGAAGAGTTTAAAAATAGTTTCAAAGGTCGCCAGGGCTGCATTTTTACTTTGAATGCATGGCAAACTTACATAAGGGAGTCAAGACAATGAACAGATCTAGCATACTAGTACAATGTATGTCCTCTTTTGGCAAAAATTTTTCTAAAAAATTCCCACATAAACCACACACAAGTAACCCAGGCTACCCAGAGGAAATGAAAGGATCACCTTTCTTCCAGGTGTGTATGCACCTGTGCAGGTAACTTAGCAACAGTCCAGCACTTCAGAGTGGCCCTAAAATGTCTACTGACAAACAGAGGGGCATTATCTGCTGCAAATGGGGTGCGAGAGGCATGCTTGTAGTACGTATTTTGAGGACACGGTGTTACCTGTGTAAACACGTGCGGCTTGCATGGGCCGTACATCCTTACTTGAAACACCTGTACTGTGGCATGCTTACAGGGTCTTAAAGATAAATCTCCCTCTTACAAATCTTAAAGTAAACTCATGTTTCATACAGGCTTCTCAAGTCCTGTTGTATTGAACCACGGTGGGTGTGTCCACTTAATGCTGTCTAAAGTAATCTACTGAATGGATAATCCTTAAAACCGTAATCTTGAGAAACATTCCTTTATGACATCTAACTTGTTACATGTACATATAACTAAGGGATGATAGTGTTGTCATTCCTTGCAAGACATTAAATGCTTTCTTGTGCTGACTCAAACTTTTAAAGATGTTTCTTTGAATTCTTAAATCTGAGGACACATTCACAACTAAGAACATACTTCCTACTTTGGGGAAGAAGCTATATATTATATATATATGAACTAAAGTGCAAGTCTAGTGCCAGTAGCTATATATAGACTGTGGCAGTTCCTTATGTGCAATCTGAAGCCTTCTGGAACATCGGAATTTTAAAAACTATCTGTGGCACTTTTTGTCAGGTTTCTGTAGAAAGCCAAATGCAGACGCGTAAACTTCAAAGATGTTGACGGACATAGACTTAATGATGGATGACAGAGCTAAGAGGATAAGCTTTTTGTCCTGTAAGGTTTGACCCATTCATGTGCACTCAATGGTAAATGTTCCTTTAACATCCTAACACAGCAACATAACTCAATGCCATTCACTTGACTGCTCCTTGAGTACAACATTTTCTTTCAGTTTGCCATTTTTCTATGCTCACAGTACTTACTAGGCTTATAAATGCAAGTGACAATTTGTCCAGAGCAACCGGTAAAGTTGCTCAAATACAGAGTCCCTTTTATCTGTGAATAGTTTCATCAGGTTGGTAAATCACAGGGTATTACAAGGCTCTTTAAGACTCTTCGTCGGCAAAGCTAAGCCAAGATTAGAGAAGAAAGACTCTTTGTATATGTACACAAAAACACAACCAATAGCAATTACCTGCCAATCTGCTACCTTCCTCAGGGCAATAATAACTGGATCTACTTCAATTCGATTCCACACTGTGACAATTATATAACCAGGCAGTAATGCACTGAAGAAGATAGGAGAACCACAATGTAAACAAACTTAAACTACTACCAAAACATTGGTACTCACCAGAGATCAGACAGTCCGCCAGTAAACAGTAATACAAAGACTTGCTTTAGTGTGAGATAGAATTAGCAGTAGACCCACCTCCACTTTGCCCTGAGAGTTTGCTGTAGCTGAGATGACTTTCAGTCCGTGTTGATCTGGGAGCCTTCAGAAGTTGGGACAGCTGCAAGGGGGACAGTTCAGTAACACCTGGGGGTGGGTTGGATGAGATGTCACGGCAAACATTCTGATTGTTTCATTCTTGAGCATTTTGTTCGAGTATGTTGCAGTAACATTTACATAGGCATGAAAAAAAATCAATTCAAAGACTTAGTCCAAAATGCAACCGTCTCAGAATTGTGGACGGTCCCTACTACCATTGTTTACCTGACAACTATTTAACATCTTCATAAATAAGTCATCATCGGACAATTAAACCATCAGTCAGGAACGAACACACACACAATTGTCAGCTCACAAAAAGAACCAATTATTTGTCTTCAAACAAAGTCGACATTTTTGTGGTGTCTTTTGTATGTATGGCACATGTATGACTAGGAGAACATCTAATGCCTGAGTCCCTAAAACATGGGCAAAGACCATGAAGAGTATATTTACTCTTTAGCTGTTCTCAACAAGTCTTTCTGACTGAGATGGTCTAAACGTTGCTTACAAAGCTACAATATACGGTGTACTGAACTGTGTCAACCCAACCTGTCACTGTACCTGATGTTATTACATTAATGTAGACATATGGCTATCAATTAATCCCAAGTATCTAGGTAGAACCAACACTGAGCAGTGCACTACATACATGTAACACTAGGCATGCTTAAGTGCATTTTGTTCACACTGTGAACCATACAAGTTATACAGTGGAACAAGAAACATTGAGCCATTGTGAGTTTTTGGGAAATAGCTTCAAGTTTAGCAATTAGCAAAATTAGATTCTCTGGTCTCTTATGACAATTCATAATGTTTGTTAGAAAATCCAAGCATGCGCAGAGCTTTGGTTTTGGCTATTTTTGGCATGTTTTTACAGGCTTTTTTATCTGGGTTTCTTTTTTGCACTGGTAATCTTTAATGTTGGGTTGGTACCAGTGCAAAAAAGAAAGCCCGATAAAAAAGCCTAAAAACATGACCAAAAATAACCAAAACACTATGGTTGGAGAGTAAGAAAATTTCAGAAAACCTCTTAAACTATAACAGTGGAAGGTAGATATAATAAAAACATATTTGATCATTGAATGGACTCTGGTCTCTTCATCTTTTCATGTGTATGTATTATATAAATACACCATTATCCTTTAAATTAAGATAACATTATAACATTAACCACAAATGTCAGACATGCCATTCTAAAGGGTAATGTTTCAGCAAAATAATGTGTTTCTTTTTTAACTACAACAACACAAAAGCTCTCACTTCAACAAATTAATATTTAATCAGTCTTAATTTAAACACTCAAACTTTCTCTTGGTGTGTACCTAGGTCAAACAATTGTCACCTTATTGATCACTACGTGCAAACACTTGGAGAGGACTAAAGCTCTAAAGGTGTGCAATATTATTGGAGTGTCAGGTGGTTGCCTAGGTGATGAAATTTTTGTCTATCAATTTTATTGACGAGCACGTTTTCAAATACATGGTGAAATGTTGGTGAGCTTTCAAATTCATGGTGGAATGTTGGTTAAGAGCTATTAAATATTGTAACAATGCTACATTGGAAAATTTTGCAAGCTTAAGATAAGACGTTAAGTTAACAGATATGTTACTAGTAAGTAGTAACCAATCTGGCCATTCTGAAATGAAGCACACATATACGTCACACTTCAAAGAAGCCACGTGACAAGCCTCACTGGGTCATTCGACAGAGTATTAGACCAGAGTGACTGGTCGAATTAGCTCTAGCCTAGGTGAGAGAATTTTTGTGTTGGACCAAAAGTTTTAATTTTAAACAATGTAACTATGTACCATGTACCAACACAGATGAACTTTCATGATAGTAAGTACACATATAACTTAACTTTAAAAGGAATCAGAGTGTGGGGAAACTGAGCAAAATCTTTTAACTTACACCTATCAACCTTTGGGAAGATGATTGTCAGAGAATGTTAATATTATTTTGTTGATATTGTCCACCCTGGATAACATTTGCTTGGACTGGAGATACTTTCATCCAAGGATTCCACTATACTGTTTAGAAGATTGGAGCCCACTGAAGGAGAACTATATGTCAGTCAAAAGAATACTATTGGTTTCCATAGCAATGCCCTATAACATCACTGGGACTAACTGATGGTGAGGGTACTCTTTAGAACATTAAATAACATTCACATAATATAGCAGATTTAACATATATTTGCTCTGGAATATTGTAATAGGGATAGAAGTTGAAACTACATATTTGCTTCCATGTTTTGGTTAGTACATACCAGGTTCCAGTCTGAATGCTGTACTCAGTCAACCAGCATAAACAGTAAAGCTCTGTAATTTGTAGTCAGGGAGCTGCAACCAGAAGGATCAGTATGTAGGTGTGGTGGCATTCAGTTTATATTAGAGAAATCTGAAAGGACTTTCTCAACACACTGTGACACTAATTTGACATGCATAAATAATATATCATTCACAAAGTCATATTTTGGCAAAAATTCTGAATTTTTTCCACCCTAAATTGTTTTCCTGTTAGAATCTTCAATAAGCTTGTGGCATGTTCTTGATTATTCTTACCTGTAGGCATGTTCTATTCCTAATAATTGTTGATGTGATTCTATATGCTCAAGTGTTAAGAATTAACACACATTATTGTGTAAAATTGTAGTAACTTCAAAAGCAAGGAGCTTCAAACTCCTTGCTTATAAGTTAGTATTTAGTGTCTAAAGTAATCTCCAAGCAGATCATACGGTGGAAAGACAGTACCCAATGGCCATAGGAATGTCCATGGCCATTAGCCACCGAATAAACCTTCTTCTAGCCAATGGATACGGTCTTGCCACCGTAGGATCTGCTTGGAGATCAGTCAAAATCCCCATGACCTCATGCGCAGGTATTAGTAAATCATCTGGACCTTTGTTGCAGAGTTTGGCCCACTTTACATCAATATCCTACACCAAGAAGATACCACAAGATCACCACCTACCTTTCAGAGTTGCGTCAGGCCAGCAGACATCTACTAAAAGGCGTAAAATCATCGAAATACCGGAAAGTCGACTGCACAGAATTTGTTGTCCGCGCGCTAGCAACAAAGGGTCAGTGGGGTTAAAGGTCAAGAGAACTCGTACCCAGGTTTACATCATATTCTTGGTTGCTGGGCGGAAAACAAAAAAACTAATTGCCTTTTTATTCTCAGAAAGATACTCCAATTTGTTCGTATGAGAGATGATATTATCAAATTTCTGTTTCAATTCTTCTTTTTGTTTCTCCAAGCTGTTAGGAATTCGTTGATTTCTGGGAACGAGACTATTAAGATGGCGCTGACCATAGCAGTTGGTGGGCGGGTCTGGAGAAAGTTTTTCAAAACTTTCCCTTTCCGATCAAACTCAGCCCTGAAAAGATTCCCTACTTGTAGAGCGAACGGAAGGCTATACAGTACAAGCAGCGACGTCGTGCTAGTCCGCAAGGATGAGGAAAGTGGCATCGCGACGGTTCGAATGAACAACCCTCCCGTCAACAGTTTGAACCCGACTCTGATGGTGGCCCTCAGAAGTTGTTTTGAAGAGCTGGAGAAAGACAAGACATGCAGAGCGCTCATCCTTACGTCACAGAAGCCTAAAGTCTTCAGTGCTGGGCTGGACATCTTGCAGCTCTATCAGGTGACACGGGAATATACGAAAATAGGGGTTGCAGATGTGTACTAGTAGTTCAGGTCAAGAAGGTTAAACACTTGTATTTAACCTCCTTGGTCAGGTACACTTTCGTTTGGGTCTAAAAGTATCTTTGGGAAGAAAAGATTGTACTTTATAAGCCACACTGACTTTTACTGAAGGAAGAAAGAAAGAAAGTGATCTCGATCCAGTTTAGCTCATTGAAGAGCTTAATCTTCCACTGGTCGTGACAGAGAAGACAGACGCTATATACAGTATTTACAGGTTCATTGTACCGGGGAAATTCCCCTAGCTCTTTTCGACAAGCACAATGAACAGTGGACCACAGTTAACGTCCCGTCCGAAGGACTGCGACCCTAAACAGTAGCGTGCATGTCGGGTGAGCGACATCAGCCGGGATTCGAACTCCCAACCTCTTAGTCCAGAGGCAGGATCGCTCACCACTGGACTACGCACGCTACGCTAAAAACATTGTTTTTGCTCAGTTTCTTCTTCCTCTTCTTCTTCTTCTTCTCCAAACAGTGACCTCTGACCTGAACCAATGTTGTCTGTTGCCATGGTAACTAGTGTTGGGTTACATCATGTTGCAATTTCATAGCAAGAGGGATTTAGACTGCAGTCACAAATGTTTTTGAGTAAGAATTAACAGAGCAGACCATATGCAAAGGTAAACATTATGCATTTGCCAAGTGTTTTTATGAATGACATCTTCTAGACACCACCAAATTGACAAGCTTTTGAAAAGAAGAAAGACTAAAGCGTGCTTCAACCATTTAGTTCAAAGTAGCAACATGTTCATTGTTCAGTCTTGAATAGTTTGATGCTAAAATATCTTTTCTACCACAGAAATCTCCAGACCATGTTGCTCAGTTCTGGGAGAAGGTCCAGGACATGTGGCTTGCCTTGTATGGATCCCGTCTGATTACCATGGCAGCCATCAATGGCCACTGCCCTGCTGCAGGATGTCTTCTTGGTCTGGCCTGTGATTATCGCATCATGGCAGAGGGAAACTTCAGGATAGGTAAACCTGCAGACTTCTGATCTGTATGTAGTAGTAGGCATCCTTCCATCTCGAAAGATGATGGTAGCACTCTAGGTCTGGTGTTGTGGCCGAGGACAGCGTTTGGTGTGGCTAATCAGCCCTATCCTCGCATGGCAGTCCCGACCACAGTTGGGATCTGTATGTGATTATACATGTATCCTATACTATCATGTTGGTAGTTACATGTTTAGAGCAAGGACGTTCTATCAAGATAGAAGGACGTTCTATCAAGATAGAAAGTCCTTGTTTAGAGTTAAAATTTTAGATGCAACACAAAAAGTTCTCTCACCTAGAGCTTTCAACCAGTCCCTCTGGGTCTCACAGTAGACTGGCTCCATTAGAAGATTCTAGGTGAGAGAACTTTTTGCGTTGCATC